AATTCAAACAAAATTCACAAAACATGATTTTCACAAAACAGGAAGCATATTAATAGCAATGTATCGACATGTTGCTGCTGTAATAAAGCTAGTTTTAAAAACTAGGCATAGATTTTAAAAATATGAGAAATCAAAAACTGAGATCTGGCTAGTAGTTTAAAATGACTCTGTTTGAGCCCAGCCTGTTCTAAACTTGATGAGAAGTATGTCCATGTGGGCTAGATATGGTTATCAGTCCGCTTTTGCTAACATATGGACAATTAGTATGTGGTCTACATGTAACCAGCAGGCAATTCCTCCTGGTCATGGGAACCATTAGAAATGCTGGCTTTATATGTAGCAGCCACTCGTCAAATAAACGTCATTATTTTTGTCAAAACCACATCTGTGAGCCACTGTACTTTAGTTGTAAATATGAAATACTATCATATCATTTTGTTTTAATCTATGACAGTAAAAAATAATCTAATTGTTCTAAAAGAAGGAAAACACACTGGTCCTAAAACACCTGCCGTACCTTTAACTTGACACCAGCACGTACTGTAGAGATGTCGTGTAGATCACAGAAACACCGTCAAGATGAAGCCTCAGAAAAACAAACTCACAGGAGTAGATTACAACCACACAGGGGGAAAAAGGAGTGTGTAAAAAAAAAAAAATGTATTCAGATTGTGGTTCCGCTCCGTGCACATGTATACAGTACACGTGCGCTGTACTCAGGGTGTGTTTAAGATGTTTAGCCTGAGGAAACCGGGGCCTTGTTGGGAGCAAACACAGCACGGCTCCAACTCAAACTGGCTTTTAATATACACGGGTACAGCAGGCCTGATTAGCTGGCAAACTGTGGGGGGCCAAGCTAGTAAGGGCGGGGGACTGCATCTCTTTATGCGTCTTAAACAGACACCCACCTACACAATTTTTGTTATTTTTCGGTACTTCAGTCGCGTCAGTAAGGCACAGCCCTGCCCTATGTGTGCTGTACGGTTAAAGAACAGAAACACAACGTTTATTTGACAGTTCAGTCGCACAATATCGTGGCATATTTTAGCTTAACTTGTCTGTTGCTTATTTTTTCTTTAAAAAAAGAAAAGATAACAAAAAAGAAGAAAAGAAACAGCAACTTCAAGTGTCTATTTGTTTACTTTCATAGTATAATATGAAAGAACTCTGTGTGTGTGTGTGTGTGTGTGTGTGCGTGCGTGCGTGCGTGCAGCTTCTCTGTGCCACAACAGACTTGTTAGCTTTCAGCGTGTTGTTTAAACGTCTATCTTACTGTGTGTTTCTGCCACAGCAGGAACATTTTTCTTTGAAAGTGAAAATTATAGCACACCACCTGTTTGGCAGCAAACAGCAAACGGAGCCAGTCGAGTACATCACAACATTTTGTGTCATTAAGTCCAAATTTATTAATAAACACCTCTTCCGACAGAATGTTTCACTTATTATTTAGCCACCGCTTGCTAACATGTAAAGCCAACATTATTAATAGGACGACAGTTTGTTAAGTCTGAGTCTAAAAAAGACGCTGCCTCATGTGGACAATGTGGCTGTGCTAATCTGTTATCATGGCTATGTCAGCGACGCAGTCTGCGTCACAATGTGAGCCTTTGCAACTCTCAGAGGCTGCCACAGGAGGCGCCATTAGGTAAGCTTATTTCAATTTTAATAACAATAAACCATGTAATCAATGCAATCATCACTACAGTTTCTACATTTTTGAATAAAATAGAATGGCATTTTTCTGCCATGGGTCTTTTTCAGGTGAGAATCCTACAGACCATAATATAACTTAAGAACAGACCCTGGATCTTATCTACTACTTCTTCTTTTAACGCCTGTTCTTTTATAACGCAAACTCTAATCGAACATGAAAAATCAAGTGGCATCTTGGCCCCTCCCTCGGCCTATGATTTACTGACCATAAAGCAGATGCCACTAAAGCTGCCACGTCCCTCACCTTCATGTTTAAGTCATCACATTCCCCACTGGCCCCTGATTCTACATTTCGGGCTTTTCATCGGAGACCGTGCTGACTCCACTCACTGGCCGTCCTGTAAATCGCTCTTTTATGGCCCTTGTAATGATCCCCCAGTCGGCCATCTCCACTCCGTCGCACTGCAGATAGAACCTGCAGCTTCTGGCAGCTGACACAAGAGAGCTCAGCGTGGTGGGAGGAGTTAGTGGGAGACTGGAAAACACACACACACTTGCACAAGCACACCAGGCAGATACTGTACAACCGCCCGATGTTCACCGTCATAAAAATGCATGGCTTTTCACACCCCATCTACCTTAATCCCAACTTCCTGTGTAAAGGTCGGAGAAAGTGCCCACGGCAAGTTTTATTTTATTTTTTCTCACTATACGTTGACGACATCCGAGTGTGCACAAAGGCATGCCGTCAAGTGTAGAGCTATCTGACTACAAATCTTTAGTGCCCTGGTAGCATTAGCATTTTACATGATTTATTTCAAACCTGGCTTTTACCGCTACAGTGCTTTGGGGACAAGATGGAGCTCGGATTTAATGGCAAACACAGACCTAAGCGCTAAACTCACACTTCAAATATGCTCCCAAATATCTGCAATGAATTATGATGAAACATGGAACTTGGCTTTCACTAAGTAAAGCTTCAAAATAGAATTCAACATCCACTGTCACTGGTTTTTAATTGTAATGTCCTTATAGTAAAACATTACTATTTTTCTATGGCAAAAATTTTGCTGCTCTCTGTTGTGACATAACTTAAGTAAAACTGGGTACTATTGCATACATGAAAGGTGTACTAACCTGTGTTGTGTACACAACAGTCTCCACAAGCTCTACCCATAATTCCCTCATGGCTCCAGGCCCTGCTGTGGCACATCTGCTTCAAAGCAGTGTTTATGGAGATATGGGTTGATTAGTCTGTGCCTTCATTTTTATGACTGGTTTATGGCTAAAAATTAACACGGTCCGTTTTTGTTGACTGGTTGGCGATATGTTTTTCTTTTCTCCAGTGTTTACACACATTAAGACTCACAGACAAAACTAAATTATTAGATGTTAAATAATTTCTCCCTGTTGTCAGAATCAATCACTTTCTATTATCAAACATAACCAAATGTGATGAAAAAAAATGTCATCTGCGAAGCTGAGACTGACCCTGTTTACTCTCTGATATGGTCCTCCCATTTTCTTCACCCAGTCACATTCTACTCCAGCCCCACCCAGCCACACATTAAAAGAAAAGGCAGACACCCCCCACTCACTATTTAGTATTCCTGCCACGTCTGGCTCTCAGAGTCGCATTAAATTGGGATCAGGCAGATTAGACTATAATATAGACGACTATTAAAGGCTGCAAATGAGAGCCATGGGTTAGATCCTGAGCGGGGGCCCAGTCTGCCTCAACACCAGTGTAATATCCCCTTACTATGACAATGACTTGGAGGGAAATGAAAAAAACATTCTCTGATGATCACCATTGTACAATGAATAGTAAGTGCAGAATTGAACAAGATTGTTTATTTTAATTTTTCATTAGTCCTTATTCTCCCAGTATTATGATTCAAAATAAATGATTCAAGTAAAGTTGGCTGGATATTACAGTTAGTAATTTCAGAATTATAATTAATTATAATGCTTTATTAATGTGAGAGACAACAAGTCTTTTGGTGTGTGTTTTTTTTTTTTTATAAGGATCGGTTTCCAGGCTGGGAATATTTAGCATGTGACAGGAGAGTGTGACCGATCACAAGGCAGTTTAGAAAGAGAGGACATACAGTTGGCTCTTTTACTGCAGCTGCTTTGCATAAACTTCCCTTTGTAGAAATATCATGACTGCAGTTTTAACAAGTACTGTCATTGTTCCAGAGAAACCTAAAAAGGCAAGTGTTATGAGTGCAGCACTCAGAGCTGCAGAAAGATTGGCCCCTCTGTACGTGTCATGTGTGAAACGATGATGAGAGGAGGTCAGGGAAGGACAACAGAAGCAGAACCTGGTGGAAAAACATATAAAAACGACACATTAGACTTATGTTGTGATTCAGCTAAATGTATTAATGTGACTTTTTTTTTGTTGTGAACATTTAAAAATATGAAATAAAGCCCAGTAGTATTATTACCTGTACGGAATTATTCAATCAGATTATAGGGTTTTTTTTATGATCTGTTTTTTTGGGTTTTTTTTTTTTGTTGTTGTTTTTTTGTTTGTTTTTATTATCTATCTTGTTAATTTGTCCAAAACTAACCCTGTTATTTAGAAGTTACCATGTTTGAATGAACAATTTACATTTACACTAGACATTATTGCTGCTGCTTATGGCAAATGACAACATTTACATTCACACTGAAAGAAGACTATGTAAATAAACAGTTTCCTCCTTAAGAATTTATCAGTCACATTTTAAGAAAGACAACGTCGTACAGCATAAAAATCACTTATCTGTATCTCCGATAGGAATAAATAAAACATTAAAATTATAAAATTATTAGAATCATTACAGAAGGGCAACATGTGAATTCATATGGGGGATATGTTTAGAGAATTTTTATGTGTGTATTTTTGTATTTTTTTGTAGTATTTTTGTGTGTGTGTCAAAGTAGAACAAAGGCCACAAGGTTAAATGAAGCCACAGTTGACACAGATAAATTTATATTGAGTGGGTCTTCAGGAGTGTATTCTGACGCCCACGTCATTGCAGTGACTGCCGTCTACCGAGTGGAAATGTTCCTATATATGACCTTCTCCTTGAAAGCACACGTGGGTCGGGGGCTTCCCTATAGAATTGACATTTCTTATAACAGGCAGATTAGATGGATTAAGGTAATGACACATACAATTATTTTAGATGTAGGAAATGATTAGAGAATGGGGAAAAAACATGTTTGTGGACATTGTCATAGCCTTATCTAACAATGTACTACAGAGTTTTGTACAATGGCACTCAGATTATCCACTGTCTCCAAATGTTTAAACTTTAAGGTTTTTCACAATGACTTCCTGTCTTTCTCTTCAGACATCCACTCTTCCCCCTGTTGGCCTTACTGTTTGAGAAATGTGAGCAGGCGACGCAGGGATCTGAATGCATCACCTCGGCCAGTTTCGATGTGGACATTGAAAACTTTGTTCACCAGCAGGAGCGGGAGCACAAGCCCTTCTTCAGTGAAGATCCAGAGCTGGACAACTTGGTGAGTTCCTCTCTTCGCACAATTCCTGTCTGAAAGTTACACATACTGTTAAACATGCTCGACATAAGTTCGGGCCTAAAGTCAACAACTTTTTACTGCCTCCCTGTCAGTCGCTGCTACACATCACACCTTAGGTATTGTTTTGAGGGAGTGGGAATTGTTTTCCAAACAAACAGAACAGCATCTTTATGGGGTTCTGGCTCTGGATTGTATTATAGTCATAAAATATCGGAACATTTGTCCAACATTTACTGCCCAACACTTGAGATTAAGATACAGAAGTCACTGGGCCAACACTCCACACTGGATACAGAGGTTTTCAATTATTTTCTATCGCCATTGAGCTGATCAGGAAGTAACCTGGGGACCACTGTTGTTCAGACCAAGAACAGGTGTTCTGATTACTTTTGTTGTAGTTTTGTTATGGTTTTTTTTCTGTTTTTTCCTTTTCTTGTTAGTGTTATTATTGGGTGTTGTGAATTGCAGCATCTGTTTGTTCCTGTCAGTACAGTGCTGAATAGGAACAGTCCCATATCATTCTCTGAATCCAGCCTTGCTCCTTAGTCTTTAGTCTAGTGGTGAAAGATGGTTCTAGTAACCATAGAAGGAAGCACAATTTCTGTCGCTTTCTGCAATCACTTCTGCCCCAGAAATGAGTCAATGGGCAAAATGCAGGATTCTTCTATTTCTTAATTTTTTTAATTTGTTGCAAAGGCCAAAAGCCTTGGAATTAAAAACTTATCTTTATTGGTCATTGTGACACAGCACAGCACAGCACACCATGCACAACGAAATTTGCCCTCTGCATTTAACCCATCACCAAAGTGAACAGTGGGCAGCCATGGTCGGCGCCCGGGGAGCAGTGCTTGAGGACGATGCCATGCTCAGTGCATCTCAGTGGCAACCTGGCAGTTGGTGGATTCGAACCTGGGGCCTTCCAGACCGAAGTCCGCCTCCTTCACCACTAGGCCACCACTGCCTGAATGTCAGATCAGGTGACAACTACAAAACCAAGGACCACTCTCAATACCTTCATGGACCACTATGAGGCTGTGGACCGCTAGTTGAAAACCCCTTCTGTGGTGGACTCTAGTTTCACAGTTTTCTTTTTGTTTGTTATAATATTGGGAAACGATATGAACTCATCTCAATGCAGTGGAAAAGCCCAGTTACTGTTTTTACTGCAACCTAACGTCATCTGCCAGTCATTTATACAGTAAAACCCAGTGGTTTGTTTCATTTTGTTACAGCGCAGTGATTACAAGTTAGGGCTTGGAGGATGCTGATGTTGGTCAGTGAAACAAACAAACAGAAACAGGCCAAACTGAAGCCAGACACAACAAAGGAAAAAAAGAGGGCAATGATGCTGTTACAGTAGTGGTGGTGGCAGGCTGACAAGTGCTGTACAGTCAATTAATTCTGCATCTGTGTGTTTTATGAGACACTGGGCGTGGGCATTCTTCCCACAGGGCAGTTACTGTTTTAGAGGGTAGTCATGTTACTGTCCCCTGATTAAGCCAGCCCAGTTCAATTAGCTGATTTATCTCCTCCTTGACTGAGGACTTTCCTGTCCCCTCTGTTGACATCGAGTGCTGACTTTGACGGTGCGAAGTGTGGAGAAAAGTCATGCTGTGGATGAAAAGGTAGATGAGTTTGAGAAATTTTCAATGTTCAGCACCAAAAATGTAAATGTAGCAAATACAATCCTATCCATAAAAAACATAAAAAAACCCACATATTAAAAATGTTTTAAACGTATGATTAATATACAAAGAAATAAACAAAAAAATCCTGGCATTGATAAGCTTAGTTTTACACTGCTATCCTCATCCTGGGAGGTAAAAATCGAGGTTGGCGGCTGATATTGACTGGTTCCATGTGAGCTTTCATGGCAGATTTTAATCTTTTAACAGATATAGGAGAAAATACACAAAGAGGGTTGAAACCTTGCTGGTGTACGCAGGGGCAGATACACTCTGTGACCCTCTGAACGAGTGAATTCGACCTCAGTCGAGTCGAACAGCTCTTCTGCGTGATGTTTCAGTGTTGTTTGTGTTTGACGAAAGAAGTGATCGGTCAGTAATAATGTTATGGATGTCACTAAGCTGTGAGACGAAACAAAAAACGATTTGGTCGAGACACAAAGGCACAAAATCATTAGCAGTGGTTAGGGCAGTCTAAACGAATGTGTTAATCCTGTTAACTATTTATGAAGATTAATCAGATTAAAATTTCACATTTTAACACATGGGCAGAAGGCTGTACACGGTAATAATTCCACCGACCAATCACTCATTGTTTTTCTCTCATGAACCTATTATATATCCTGATTGATTTAAGATTAATTAAGATTGTGATTAATCACAATTATTCCGATTAATCCACAACTACCCTGTGATTAATCTACTGACAGCACTGATAAAAATAATGATAATAATAATTATTATTGTTGTTGTTGTGATTGTTGTTATTGTCGTTGCTGCAATCCAACTCAGGCCAAAAATATTGTCAGATATATATTTGACCTCATATATTTGTCAGCTATATATTTGACCTCTCTTATTGTAAAAGCTCCTCCCTGGCCTGACTTGGTGATGAACGCTGATTCAGGGCCGTCTGTAAAATGCACATCATAAACTCCTAAAGGAAACATCTGCAAAACCTTCCTCAGTTTTGTTTGGCCTTGATACCGTCTGAATACTCACTACAAAAATACTCTATCATTGTTTCATGTGAAACACAAAGTTTCCCTAATCTGATGAAAATAACCCAAACAATATCCAATTGTTAGGAAACCAGAATTGAAACACAGTTTCAGAACCAGGCAGCTTTCACTTCTGATGGACAAGGCTTGAATATATGTTTTTTTATGTTTTTTTAATCACTGTCTTGGGGAGCAGCAGGATGATGGGATGACAGGTGCTGCCTCTTCATGGAGTCTGCGTATATCATTGGAACACAGAAAAATGACAGTCACTCCCTAAGTATCAATAAAAGTCACATGGCATCCTGTAGAATTGACTGTAAACATGTCAGCTTAGGTTCCTGCTTTTTTCTGGCATTCTCTTTGGGGATTTTTTTCCCGAGCTGACAAAAGTATCTGGACATACATGAATAAATCCTTGTCCATTTTCCCATCCTTTGGAATAACAGAAACAGGGGTTTTTCTGTGAATCCTTTATGATCTGCCAAATATTCAACCTAATTATGTATCTGGGCAGCTGCCAACAATGGAGACAATCCATTCAAATGCTTTCACTCCATTGAAAGTGCTGTACAAGTGCTGTTGTTATGGCTCCACATGGCCATTGTAGTGTAATTACAACCAGTGTTTTTTTTTCTCGACTTTCGTGCTTTGTTTAGATGGTGAAGGCCATTCAGGTTCTGAGGATCCACCTCCTGGAATTAGAGAAAGTCAATGAGCTCTGCAAAGATTTTTGCAATCGCTACATCACCTGCCTGAAGACAAAGATGCACAGTGACAACCTCCTGCGTAACGACCTGGGAGGACCTTACTCACCGTCACACACCAGTCTCAACATGCAGCAGGTCAGTCATGAATAAGAAGTGTTTTACGTCTTAGTTCTTGTATCCCTCTCAGTGTAGCACTCCCCAACATCCCAAGTGTGCCATTTATCACCAGGTTGATTTTGCTGTTGGGAGTTTTTTTTCCAGTGACAAACAGTGCAACCTCCTCATGTTTACTCACTAGTGTCTCTCTGTGATCCCCCAGGAACTAATTCAGACCTCCTCTCCATCCATGACCTCTGTCTCCAGCTCTGTTAACCCGTCTGGGATTGTGGTGCCTGCCGGGGGTCTGCAACAGGGCAATGTCTCCATGACTACCATCAACTCACAAGTGGTTTCAGGTAAGCATGTGTTGACACACACACTCACACACTCTCTCTCACAGACAAACACTAAAACCAGGTGCCACATTGACTTCTTTTGTCTTCTTCTATTTTCATTAGCCTAGCCTGTCCTGCTCTTAACAAAACAACAGACACATTAACAGCAGCATTCGGATTTAACGCATATTTATTACTTTTTTCTTTGCTTATATTTTTTGAATAATTTGTTTGAATAAATTATGTTGAGTAAATTTCAGGACATATACCTCAAGTATCTCTGTTTGTAGTACATTTACAGTAAACCACCTTCGCTAATGAGACACTCGGGTTACATACCTTGAACCTTGAACGTCATTGTAATACTCCATTCTTAGCTAACATAACATACTTCTGTTTATGAAAATATAAGTACTCAGTGCTGTCATGAATTTCAACATTAATATTCATTGGTAATCTCTCCAGTGCGTTATTGACTATACAAACATACAGTATATCCTAATTAAATTAAAATGTTTGCACATTTAATCTGATTCTATATTGGCTTTCACTTTGTCATGCAGGGTTGCATGAAGTTACACTGACATCAGAGTGACATCACACCTGGATTAAATTATATCATAATCCAGGCTAGGAATGTATTAGTCACAGTAGCTCAGTGGGGAAGAAAAAAAAAACAAGTTAATCCTGAAAATGTGATTAAAAACTAACATCCAGGTCTTTGGTGTGGTTTGCATATTTTAAACACTGGAGCCTAAGGTTGAGCAGCCTAATAATAATGAGGAGATAATTTACTTCACTTCATCAGCGGTGACTGATGTTCTGTGATACGTCCATGATACGTCCTGGCCTCGGTCTCTGCTGCAGGAATGTCAATCCTGTCCTGAGGAATTCCCTTTTAACACAAAATAAATCAATGTCCCTGTGTTTGATCGCTACAAATCGAGGAGCTCAAACAGAGTGAAAGTAGGAGTGTGAAGATCAAGCCTTATTAAGCCAGAAGCAGAAACACTCTGTCATCCTTTTTGGGTTCAAAGGGAACTAATGCACCTTGAATTTATTTAATCATTTCTCTTGTTTGCCTTGTTTTTGTTTGCCGGGCTGGCAGGAAGCTAATAAGGCTCTGGTGGTTGTGTGGGATGAGGCTGCCAGTTGCTCCTGAAATCACTTGATACTCATGAAGGCAAATTATCCCCTCAGGTGGGACCCTGTACCAGCCAGTTGCCATGGTGACATCACAAGGGCAAGTGTTAACGCAGGCACTGCCGCCAGGAACCATTCAGATCCAGAACTCGCAGGTAACAGCAGTGGGCTGCTGATGTTACAGCCAAAATGTTGTCAATTCATTTCTTCTGTTTTTCTTTTTTCTTTTTAATCAAGGACAATCCATATTTCCCAGAATGCCCGCCGGGCGCCTTTTCATTGTGTCTGTCTGAACTCGATCCGGTCTGCTGAGACCTAAAATGGAAATTGTTTGTTCACATTGTGTGATGTGTTTACATTACTGAAGGTAGAAGAGTGAATGACAGGTGCATTTTATTGATCCTTTAACTTCAATTAATGATCAATGGTATTGATTTAAACAGATGGAGGAAACTTCAAAGTTACCCCTGACATTTTGAGTCATTTTTTTAACGTATTGCACAAAAACCTCTTGACTCCTGAGGAGGAGAGTAAAGTATTATGGACAGGAAATATTATGCCCACAAACATTTTATCAGCTCTCTATGAAAAGGGTTTGAAGCAGCTAACCCCAACATGAATGACTTTTATATGACACAAGGACACATTTCTACTGTCAGTGTTTCCCTCTCATTTATTTTCCTCTGGCGTTGTTTATTCTGCGCGAGGTGGTTGTGCAAATGAATGGACTTCGTACTCTTTAATACTAATCAAATAAACAACATAGCTGTGGGCCGTTGGGCATTATTTGAATTAAGAGTGTTCATCAAATCCAATATGTGTGTGTAGCACCGTAGCGAGGACGCGGGGGGGACGCCGCAGGGAGGAGGACAAACCTTGTTTGGCAAATAGCTGAGTGGGGACAGAACCTTTGGAACTCCTTGTCCACAGGACAGCGTCTGATGAGTGTCTCCTCCAAATGTAGGGAACGTTGTGCACTTGACTCCTTGTGAGGTCTGTTTAGAGGACACTTGGTCTTTGCAAAGTTAGAATGCCTTTGTTTTGCTGCCTACGAAGGGAGGAATCTGACCTGGATAATTGGTGCTGGCTCATTAAACAACAGTCAAAACATAGGACAAAGACAGCGCTCCAAAGACTGAGCTGTGTGGCCCACACCAAACAAACTGCTGTGTGAGAGAACATATAAACAAATGCTGGGGAATTTCATTTGCAAGAAGATGGCTGGACGTTGGTCAGCCAACGTCGGTCGGGCGTTGGTCACAGTCATTGTGAGAAAGTTGACATTTTTGTCAGTATCTTCATACTCCTCAGCTTGTCTACATGGATCTTTGGTTTAACCCAGTGGTTCTCAATTATTCTCTGCTATGCGCCCCCTTGGGGACAGAACTGTTTTTACGGTAGATCATTTTCAGACTTTTTTTCTTCTTCATTCGGATAGATACATTATTTATTGAACATCATAGTTGTGTTGAAGTTGTCACAGAGCTAACTATGCAGCTCTCCTGACCTGGAGAGACGTTGACATCCAGGCTGGTCATTCTGTCCGTGATAACTCTGTGAACAACAGATACCCGGGCATGGAGGTCTAACACACAGGCAGGGAATTGAACTCAGCCTCGCTACTACTTACACTGATGAGTGATCACACGCATGGTTCCACCAATTTATTCACTCCAGTCCAACTGTCTCCCAGAACAGCCCTGTTGCCAGGACTGGTGGGAGCTGAGAGAAAGGTCGATCACATGATACCAGCCTGCAGATGTGTAATGTATAGTTCATGCAAATATATATTTGAAATATTCATATGAATTCCAGCCTTGCCTGATTCTTGAGCCCAGTGACCGCTGTTCAAATGAGCTGTTTTAAAACATATTCTAAACACACAGAAGCAGTGCATCTGTACATATGTGGGGTTTTTTTCACTTTGGACTTTTTGTCCATTGAGATGGTACCTGTGTTTGGAGAAGGAGGCACACAACACAAAGAACACTGTCCCCACAGCGAAAACACAGAAGTGTCAGTAAAATGTTGTGAGAAAGAAAAAATCTAGAAAAATCTGATGAAAGAATTTTGTGACAGAGTCCTCAGTGTCACAGTCAGTATCCAAAAGGTGTCTTGGTTTGTCCTTTTTTTTCACTCCATTTCTCAACTGGAGCATTCTTCAAAGAACGTGATAAATTGTATCCAAAAGTCAGAAGTAACTGTTATCAACTGTGCCATACAAAGGGATGTGCACGAAGCTGTGGCTCCAGTGTGATTGAAAATATACTGAAGTCCAGGGTTTATAAGGAGGAAATGGAATGTCCTCTCCTGGGTTAGTAACTGGATGTCGGTTCATCTTGTAAAATAATGTAATCTGCAGCTAATATATATAAAGGTGTATGTCATATGTTTAGAAGACATTTTCCACTTGACAAAATGGACAGAGGTTAATTTCCTCTGTCGAAGTTCATAATATTGTCTTTAGCTGTTCATGATTTTCAGATCAATACGTTGCTCTGAATGTCAGATAGATTCATTTAGAGTTAGAAAAAAGCATTGATCTGTTAAACAGTAGACCATTAACACCTGCGATGCGTTTACTGTCTTCGGTTGAGCAACTGCAATCTGTTGAGACACCTCTGCATGCTGTCGGACTGGAGGCGCAGGCTCATAGAACACAGTGTCAACCAAGCAGAACCTAAATGTACCATATAGAATGAATTAAATCTCTGCACTTCTGCCCAGCCATTGTGACTACAGCAGTGTCTGAAATCTAAAAAGATCTTTACTAATATACCGTACTCATGAATGGAACTAGAACAGACCAAACAGATGCATTTAAACTGCAGGTGGTCAGAAAGCTCAAAACTCAGATCATCTAGTCCTTCAGACAATTACGACCAAATAGTTCTTTGTCACTGAACACAGAAACTGGCTCAGGAAACACCGTTGCTCTTTCTACCAGCTCCTGACTACTGCAGGACTAGACGCTGTGAAGCACTTACTTTCAACCTTGAGGCTCACTTCACCCTGAACTGGTGGTGGAGTTAAACTTGTCCAAGCACCAAACAGGCTACTGACCCTCTTGTGTTTCCGCACAGTCAAGGATGTTGTTTAAGTATCATTACTCAAACTACGTTACCATGGTGACACCTGAAGAGGTGTCGCTTCTCTCCCGGCTGAAAGGAGATTTTTTTTTATCCTCTCTTTGTTTCTGTGGAAACAATAACTAAGCTCCAGCATCTGTCTCCTTTTTTCTTTCTTCCCTTTTTCTCAATCCTTCTCTCCCTCCACCATCTGTCGTAAAGGTGAACCTGGACCTGTCATCCCTGTTGGACAGCGAAGACAAGAAGTCCAAAAATAAGAGGGGGGTCCTTCCCAAACATGCCACCAACATCATGCGCTCCTGGCTCTTCCAGCATCTCATGGTGAGACAGAGAGCAGGTCTTTGAGGTTTTACTCTCATGTCCAAAATGTAAAACTAACCTCTTTTCTCCTGGTGTTTTTCCAGCACCCATATCCAACAGAGGACGAGAAAAGACAGATTGCTGCACAGACAAATCTAACCCTTTTACAAGTGAACAACTGGTGAGACGCTGACACAGTGTAACCACAGCCGTAAAACCACTGCACGTACATGTAAAGACTCTTAATGTTGCTGCAGTGGGAACATTAAGTGACACTTAAAGTAAACTTCAGTGCTTTAGTAAGCGCTTAAACAATAGCGCCATCTTGTGTTGTTTTACCTCCAGTGCATCCGAGTGCAAATTACTTTTTTGCATGTCACGACATAAATTAGTTGCTTTATACATTATATGAGTAATACTGCATCCATCCATCCATCCATTTTCATCCTCTTATCCGTTACCGGGTCACGGGGGCAGCAGTCCCCACCCACATCACACTGCACCGTACCACACGACCTAAACCTCCCTGTGGGTGGTGAGTCCACTGGAAAGTAATACTGCATTTTGTTTTAAATTTTAGATGACATAAATACATCAAGAATATGTTTATGTAAGATGAATATTTAGTCTTTAGTGACAGATAAGTCACGTGGCTGTAAATACTTTTTATTATTATATATTAAATCATTTGGATTTTGTTTATTTTATAGATAATAATGGAACATATTTTAAAACTATACTAGATTTGAATAAGGCAATACTTAACTGTGTCTTTGACAAAACACTAGGTATGGAAGTGTGTATTTCTTCAAATGACAGAATGACATCATTATATTTTCTTTATAAGAATTATTTTAATAATGTTTTATTTATTTAGTATTTTAGCCACACCCAAACAGGTTAGCACTTTGTACCTGCCTTTATTTTCTGATATTTGAATATAAGTGCAGTAGATTTTCATACATTGAATCTCAACACTGAATTTTTAAGATATCACATACAATATCTTATACTTGTAAGCTACAGATGTACCTCAAGTACTTACACTAGTGTGTGTATGTGGCTCACTTCATTTCACAAATATGCAGCCCAGTCAAAATACATCAGGACTGAATGTGGCCTTAGTAACTTATTTGGCACATTCACTGCATACTACAGCTGTCTTTTGTATAATTGGAATAGCAGATGAATTTACTTTTATTTAGGCCAGTTCTACTTTTTGTTTTTTTTATATGGTAACATGTCGTAACGCTTGATCCAACATCTGGCAAAGCAGGTAAATAAAGAATTTGCTAGTAATCTGTAATATTTATGGGTTTAAGTACTATATGTATTATAAAATTATTGGTTGGGATTGTAACATAATTTACTCTTGGTTATTCTTCTTTATTTATGTGTATTTCCACTTCTTTCCTTCGACAACAGATTTCAGACACTTATTCTAATAAGAAAAACTAATCTTAATATCTTTGTCTGTGATGCAGGTTCATCAACGCTCGCAGGCGTATCCTACAGCCAATGCTAGATGCCAGTAACCCAGATCCATCCCCTAAAGCCAAGAAAATGAAGTCGCAGCACCGTCCGACACAACGCTTCTGGCCCGACTCCATCGTGGCAGGAGTTTTGCAGAGTCACAGATCTCAAAGTGGGAATAACTCTTACAGTGTGATCACAATTATATCATTAGATCACGAGTACACTGTAGAATAGACGTACAGTTTAGTCTGCTTAGTTTGATGATAACCACAGGGTGGCACTGTTGTTCCTTGTCCAACGTTTATGAAAAGAAAAGAGTCCAAAAACAACAAATTTGAGATTTTAGATGACGGAGAAATTCTATTTGTTCTGCAGGAATCATGATATTTATCTAAGCCTGTGCCCAAACTTTAGATTTGAACTTTGTGGGTTATAAATCAGAGAGACAGCTGTAAATAACATCACTCATGTCGACAGAATGGACTTTTCTATGTGAGCCCCAGAGAGTAGAACATAGATTTAAAGCACTTTTGGCTTCGATGCCAGTAGCTGTTTTTGTTTTGTAGTTTTAAGCCAGTTGACTCACCAGACATCACATACTTGATAACAGAAATGCACCGTGTGATAGAAACATCACAGCTGGCACAGAATGAACGTTCTTTCTGCCTTAAATTAGCAAAGTGATGCAACAACAAATGTCATTCCTTTGAGAAAACTTTTTCAAGAAGTTTATACTTTATATAATACTAGACTCTTTGATCAGTCCCTCAATGGACGATGGAAGAAATGTAACAAAAAGGAAAATACAGACATGTTGACTGTAGTAATTCCTGTTGTCTTTGCAAATACTCCAAGTCAGTTTTTCTTTCTGCAGCGCCCCCTATTTATAGATTTGACTATTGTCACACCCCTGCTCACATTTGTAGCTTTTGTTAAAAAAAAAAAGAGCAAAAAACGACCTCCTTCTCAAAAAATCAAATACTAAATCAATGGATTTCCACTTTTTTTTAGCAGTGAGAAAAAAACCCTGATCTCTCACCTGTATTGTTCACTGACTGCTGTGCAATTTTGCTTGTGCTGCAGATCTTTTAAGAATAAGGTTTTAGCTGTGAGACTCATAATATTAGTTATTTTTCAATGTCCAGGTTTGATTTGGATTTTGTTTCTAAAACAGCTTTCCCGACTATGGGAACAACAGATTTAGGGAGATTTTTTTTACTATTTTGTCTTGTGGAGAATTCTAGTGAACTGTACCTTTAATGGAGTTTATACATTCAGAAAAGTGTGTCTTAAAATAACTGCTTGAGTGAGACGGCTGAAGTGATGTTGCTAAGCAAACATTTCAGAGCACAGCGGGTTTATAACACACAGTTAATGTGCTGTTTTATTTTCCCCCCACTGCTGTCTTCCCTCAGACCCAATGAGTTTGGACAGCCTACAGTCCCTGTCCTCAGACTCCGCCACCCTGGCCATGCAGCAGGCCATGCTAGGAGCCGACGACTCCATGGACGGCACCGAGGAAGACGACGAAGAGGAGGAGGAGGAGGAAGAGGAGGAAGGAATGGAGGAGGAAGAAGAGGAGGAGGAGGATATAGAGGATGAGGAAGATGACAGAGGCAGACAAATGTCAGGCAGAGGACGAGGACGGAGGAATCTGAGCATGGAGCACAACGAGGACCTGGAGTAGAGGAACTTTGGTGACAGGTGTCTCTTCAGTGCAGCCACACACTAACTATTTTTATGCTACATGACTTTTTAGGCGTTAAAGGGCAAATCCTGCTTTTTTTCCCCTTTTGAACACGGATCCATCTGCGGAGCTTAATGTCAATCATGATGATCATAGTTTAAGACATTGAATATAGAACTGAATAATAATAATAATGTGGTGGTTGACTTTTTAACAGTAAATGCCTTGGTGTGTTTACTGAGCACGAGAAATGTTGGGATGGTTGCACTTTTCTTTTTTTCTCTCTCACGATCAACTTACATTATGAATGAAATCACCACCACATTGATATGAAGCTAATGAAACTGAGGTTCTAAGAGACATGCTGCTGCTGCTGCTGCTGCTGATGATGATGATGATGATGATGATGATAACAGTGCATTTCAATTGGAAACTCAAAGTTAAACTGCTAATGTAGCAGCTTCAAACTGCGCAATGCTATTTCAGCTACAGTCGACTGCCCACACTTCCTGCTTCACAGTTCGGCTCATCACAGCCCACCTCCACGTCAACACCTCCTTTTCACGCTGTGCCGCAACTAAGTCACTGTCATGGGTTGTCACTGAAGCTTGTTCTGTTCTGTGCTTTCTTGGTCTGCGGCTCCACGGAGAAGAGCCCCACCTTCCACTGTTAAACCTTGATCACATTTCATTAACCTAGACTAATGAAACAAAAACAGCAAACGGCTCAGAGGGAGTCACAAAATAAAGAAAATTAATTAAAAAGGTAACAATAGAAAATAATGAAACCGCAGGTAGACTCAGTGGGTTTTAGAATCACCCTGAGAACGATTATTTACCCAACCCCTCTGCTCCTCATGGTGCTAAAACAACCTGCTACTACATTTATTTTAATGTCGCTGGTGGGAAAGAAGCCTGAGGAAAGTGCATCACTCCAGTGTCCACTCACTACTTCACTGTTTGTTTGCCTTCTTTAGCCACTAACTCTGCGAGTGTTTCATCTGTTATCTGCTCTGTGAAACGTTTCTTCCCGTCTGGCACAGGTTTCTGCTCGTCCTCTTTGAGGCAGTTCTTAATTTTTCCTAAATTCTGACCCATTTTCAGAATGACCCCCCCCTAGAAAAAAACCTTCAACTTGTACCATAGTTTGAGCATCAGCATTGACATTTATTCATTACGCAAAAGGACAAGAAAATAATTTTCGTGTTTTTACTGACAGTTTTCAATCTTTTTGGTAAACAACAAATCCACAGAAATGGAAATGAATCCCTGCGAGACACTTGAACAAACATTTCAAATATATTCTCACTCAGACTGTAAAATGCTATCAATCAAAACACTGGAAAAACTTCTGGTTTTTAAGGTAAAAAAAAAAAAATCTTCCAAACTGTGCAAAGTCAACATAGATGAAAATAAAAAAGATTAAATGACACTCAATTTACACCTGAACAAAATCTCTTCTGCAGAAATGATCACATGAAATGAACTGTGACCCTGTTAATTTTTAGTGATTATCAGCGACCAGGATGTTTTATTTGGAAAAATATCCCGGGTCTGAGTTTGACATGTGTGTCTGAGTGTGGCCTAGACGTTTGTCAAGTATCCTGTCAAAAACGAAGTCTTTGGAGAGTTTATTTAAACGTTGGAAAATGTCCACAGCGTAGACAGGAAATGAGCCGGTGGCTTCATTTACTGTCCAACATTAAGAAGTTCATAAGGCTTTAAGACCAGACACCCAGTGCATGAAGTGAATAAAAGTTTTGCTTTTTTGCACTTTAGGTTTAATATCAGTCATATCATTTTATTCATACTTTTGTTTTAACAACATCTTTACGGCCACTCTGTGAGAATATGATCTTAGGTGGAAAAATTATTGGGGAAACTCTCAACTCACAGTGACTAAAAGTTTGATTAAAAGAAGAACGTTTGTTGCAGGTATTCATTTCTAAAAATAATAAATATGTTTGACAAATGCAGCAACAATTGTAAGTAAAAAACACTTTTCAATAGTTTTAGTTTATTATTGTTTATTATGCACATTGCTTAAAGTGCTAAATTGCATAAATGTTAATTCCAGTGATACCATTAAAACTATTTCATTAATCCAACACCGTCAGTAAAAATGTAATAACGTCCCTTGAACCATTTCCATATCTTTAATGAATGCTCACATTTTTGTGTGAGACGTTTCAGCTCCTCGACGTTATATACAAACCAGACGGCAGCTCCATATTTTGGAACAGCACATTTCTGCACACACACACGCCTGCAGCTGACAGTCCACGGCTGAACACTGCAGTTCATGTGTCACTTCACTTCCTAAAATAAAAGTGAGGCACAGAAAGAGATTGGGGGCGTCGGGTGGGGACGAAGTTGTGCATAAATCTACAGAAGTGACTGTGTGTGGGAGACATCACTCACACACTTTAAAATGACTCACTCTCTCTCAGGTTGAACAACACTCATGTGCGACGTGTTTCCTCCTCCTCGGGGAGGGAACGGCGTTGCAGAAATGAAACGTTTTCAGGCATGACTTTAGAAAGACAACTTTTTAGAAAAAAAACATTATTACTTAATAAAAATAAGAAAAAAAGAATCATGTGGTAAACCCGTGTATTCTGACAGCACATATCTTGTGTACGTTTGCATTCTGGTGTTTAAGGTTTGCATATTTATTCACTTTGTTTCCTGTGTGGACTGAAGGAGCAGCACGACGGCGGTAACTTCTGCGTGGTTTATGCAGAAAGGCTGATGAAGTGACTGTCGGCCTCGTAAACACACACAAACGCTTGACTTAAACCCTCAACTGTCAAAACTGCTCATGTACTTTCGTGACCCTGGGAGATTCTGTCACAAAAAAAATAGCATGACATGCACCGCCAGTCACCGCGGACGTCTCCTCCCTGCATCTCAGCATTGAGAGATGCCAAACAAACATGGCCGCTGACTTTGGACACCCTCATGTGTCAAACTATTTCACACTGAGGGATGATTTTAAAGACGATGCAGAAGAGAAGTTAAAAAAAAACGAAGGAAAACAAAACAGAGTGGTTACGTCTCAACGCCACGTGAAGGATTTTTCTTTTTTTCTTTTTTGAACTGTGAATCAATTTCGGCGTTCCGTTTTTGTATTTAAACAACGAAATGGAATCACTTGTTCCTAATGTGAAGATGTCTAGAAAACCACAAACATGTTATATTGAATGTTCTGATTGTTCATTGTGAAGTTTGTTGCTCATCGGTGTTCTTTTCTCGATTGCTCTTTTTTAAATGGCTCTTCCAGAACAAGTGACAGACAATAGGAGATATTTCTATTTCATTTGTACACCTTGTTGTCATAATCTATTGTGTTTCAATAGACTGATTTTAATAATTAAACATGTAAAGGTACGGATTTGGACTCTTGGAAAATCAGCAGGGTTCTGCGGGTGTGTGTGTGTGTGTGTGTTGTTTTTTTCTGTCACTTGTCCAGATTGCAGGATTGAAAGACTAAACATTGCTTTCAGTGTTTTCCTGTCACGGGTCTACTGTCCCACCCCCTCATTACCATTCACTCTACCCTGTGATTTGTCCGTGATGGGGGAGATCAACCACCCAACCTTTCACCCACCTGTTTTCCTCAGATAACTGCTAACGAAGGAGCCTCTGTTCAAACTCAGATATATACATTCATTCATCTTCTAAAACTTAATCCTGTTCAGGGTCTCAGGGGGTCCAGGTTCAATCCCAGCAGTCAACAGGCAGTGATGGAGTATATCCTGAACAATTACCAGTCCATGACAGCAACCATTCACGCTCACATTCACACCTATGGTCAATCCAAAGTCAACTATTAACCTAATCTGCATTATTGTGGATAATGGGCGGGGGGTGTGTGGGGGGGACAGCAGAGAACCGACCCACGCAGGATTACATGCAAATTGTATTCAGAATCGGCTGCATTTACACCCACTATGCTCTGCGGTAAAAGGTTACTTAATATCAGGCATTCATATCACCTCAGGGAACACTCAGAAGTTTACAGGAAAATCAGCCACGTTAGTGAAGGTTAGCCTCACAGCAGATTACTCCACACTGGACAGTGTTGCAGGTCAGACGGCCACAGGCGCCAACATTCACAGCTGAGCAGAAACAACAGCAGCTGGAGGAGCGGATGGATAACGTGTAAATATGATAATGTATTCCATGTATTAGCAAAGGTGGGAGTTTTCAATTTATCATGGGCTGGCATCAGCTACAGCAGAAGGACTCCTCATGAATCATTAACCATTGTTTTTTAGGAGTCAGGTTGTTGCTGTATATAATGGTTCACTTCAGGTCAGCAGGGTTCACGCTGCGGCGAATACAAGATGCTAAAATGGAAAATACTGGCGGCTGCATTAAATGTTTGCATATCAATGAGTGAAACTAGGGCATAGTTCTCAATATGCAAATAGTGGAACCTGGTCGGTCTTTAAACACGGAGCAGCCTCACACACACAAACGCACAAAAGGTTGAGACTTTCCAGGGGGTTTTGTAGTTTATTACTCAGTTAAAACAGTAAAAAAAACAAACCATGGGAACCTTTACTACTGTAGCTGTAACTTTATTTTATTTTGTAATTTAAATTAATTTAATTTTTTTTTTCTTCTATGTTTTCCATCAAAATGTCAAGTACAGAGGTAATAGTGTATTTTGATTATGGACGAAATCTTTGGAATGTCAAGGTGACAGTTGTAAAAGAACAGTTTATGAGCCACACTGTAAATATGAGTTTTATTTATTCACATTATTAAACCTATGGCTCATAAATAATACAGTAAACATAAAAAAGAGAATATTTCTGATCTTTCTGATTCTGATTAAGAAATAAGTACTAAGATTGAGTTTTTTAGTCAGTGAAACCTAAAGTTTATCAAGAATATTCCAACAGGAGGCAACACGACTGAGGTTAGTGCTGTTGTCTCACTTCGGTTTGATTCCTGGTGGTGTGATTATCTTTCTGTGTGGAGTTTGCAGTTACTCCAAAAACCTGTCGTCCTGATAATTGTTCACTCTGACTGTAGGTATGAATGTGTGTTTGATTGTTGTTTGTCTTGGCGTGGGTTTTTCAATAGGTGAACCGTCCAGGATTAGGTGGTCGAAGATGATTGGATGATAACCCCTGGTGGTCAACTAGAGTAACATCAGAGAAACGTGAGATGATGTTCAGTGGGAATTACCTGTGAATTATCTGAGCTTGTGCATCACGACCTGGTTAACTCACAGGACGTTTACACTAAGGTTAGTCCTTTAAACAACACCGTAACAACGACATGAAAATGCCAAACATAACATTTGTACATCCTGAGCCGCAACATCATGTCCTACAGGTCCTACGTACCTCCTAAACATGGCTCCTAAACACAGTCACTGGAGGATCAGAACCATGTTTTACTCTAGACTATTCATCAGTGGCTCTCAGCAGAGCAAAAATAACTTTGGAATAACAGGGGCTGAAAAAGCCACTGGCTTCAGTTCACTTGTTTGAAGTGTGCCACAGTCACCAAGCTTCTCAGCGTGGACGCAGCAGAGGAACACACATATGTGTATATATACACCAGCACAACTGCGGGGCCAAGGTTTGAGCCCCGGAGGTCCGTAGAAGCCAGTGCCATCTGGGCGCCTACATGGTCCCAGATGTCTTCTCTGTAATTAAAGTCAGGCCTGGCGTGGCCTGGTCCAGCCCTGTTCCAACCTCTCATTTACCCAGGCCCTCCCTGAATACTTAAGGAGCGTTCCAACACAGTATTTGATTTTACAGGAACTCTTTGGATGTAAAAACGATTTTCTCCTTGTGTCATCAGCAAAAGCTGCTAGGGTCAAGGTAAATTGCATTTTATTTTTATTTTTTATACATATGCATCTATATTTTTCATATATGCACATGCATTTGTTATATGAGCATATATATATTATATATTTAGTGAATTGTTTATAATGGAGATCAGGAATCAAATTGTTCTTTTAAGCTCTGAAAACTAGCTACTACCCCCCCCACCCCCCACTCCTCCACCCCTTTTCACAGGTTTTTAAAATGTCTATCGCCCGGGAAGCGGCTAAGGCCATGCTATCTGATGCCCTGCTGCAAGATAGCCCTGGGATAAACCGTATCAGACACCTGGAGCTGGAGCTTCCTCTGGACAAGGTCATCAAATTTGTATCTGTCGGCCTTCCACTGATGCTTGTGACCATGGCATTTGCCCGGGAGATCTCTCTGGGTGAGAAACCCTTTACTTAGATCCTTGTAAAAAAGAAAGCATGTTAAAAAAAATTCTATTGCCTTGCTCTGTATTCATGACTGTGATTTTGTTTTGAACTCCTCTGTGACCTACCAGTCCTTGAATTCCTGACGATTTATCTCCTTACGTGGACTACAATATCATTTAAAATACAAAGAGTCAATTTCAAATTGCCAGAGAGGTTTTTTTATAATTAAAATAATTATAAAAGCTGTTTACAGCAGAGAACTGGAGGAGTCATCAACTCAAGTTGTGGAGGTGGACTTTTTGACTGTAAACAACACATCATACCTCCTGTGCTGGTCTGCTACCAGCCTGATGCTCATGATGCTAATTGGCATGGCCTATGATTGAGAGCAACGTTCACTAGCGTTGGCATGGTGTAATTACCAGGAGAAGTTCCGTCGTGGCGGCTCCCCTCTATTTCAGTCCAATGAGGGGATATGTTGATTAACCAGAAAGGAGGTGGGGGCGTCAACACGACACGGTGCTGAGATGCACAGCTCCGCCGATGGAACTTGGCTGCCTCTCGACTGCCAGGCTGTCAGTTGCACAACAGTTGTGCTTGATTACGCCGCTGTCTGGAGTCTGGTTTACTCGCATCTGAACTTTCAGCCAAGAATTTATGTGCAGAGCACAAATGGAGGAGATGTAGGAGATGAGGAGTGTCAGCATGGGGAGCAGAAATGGTGGAGCTCCCGCCCCTCACTTCACTTTCCTTTAAAAAAGTTTGGAAGTGGCGTTTGGAAGCTGAGGACAAATGGTTCACAAAATTCAAATCATATAAAATAAAATTGACGTCCCTTATTTGTCCCACAGTGGGGAAATTGTGGAACAAATTTGACAAAATTAAGTCTTTGCAACCCTCATAGGCTGCCACACGAGGCGCCATTACAAATGTGGTTCCTCCTGGGCTGGAACCCAGGACCTACTGTGTGTAAGGCAGATGTGTTTCTGGGTTTGTGCTAGGATCTCACATAATATGGAGTATATTTAAACTGTATACAACGGTTGGTCAGGGCGTTCTCCCACAAATGTTCTCTCCAAGTGAAAAATAGATTTCAATTGTTGGCTGAGTGAGAACTTCAAGTGGTGTCGGTTTTGATTATCGCTGCAGTCCTGATCAGAAGTTGGAGCTCAGCAAGTGTTGCTCCATTTATTGTGCTGTGTAGTGAAAGGAAAGATGAAAGCAGGAGGGAGGAGAAAAAGAACGAGGCCATTCACTCCACCAGCAGGGGGCCTTAAGTGGTTTGTGAGCCACTGGCAGTTTTGAGGTCAGACAGATTGCTGTAAAAAGCATTCTGCTGTGTCAGTAAGAAAGTGCTGACAGTGGGCCACCCTGAACCACTTTTCTACATCTAATATAATAAGTAAACATGAGAACTTGTTAATGCCTAAGTAAAGGGGACTTGTGCCTTTCCATCAGCCCTGTCACAGCGTGTTTCAGTCTTAGAGGACGTCTCAAAATCAGGAATACTTTATTGATCCTCAGGCAGCCAATGTTCGTGTTACATTTGCTCCTGTATTACTTTTAGGATTTTAAGAAAGAAAGAAAAAATAAAAATATTTTCAAATCACTATTGAATGTCGACGTGACTAGAAATTTGTCGACGTGACTTGCATATGATATCATTTTACCAATGGGAAATTGCCCTAACAACCTTTGCTTCAGTTCAGTTTTATCTTAAACCTGATATGTTAAGCTAGTAGCCACTGATTTTATATTGATTTTTTTGACATTTTATAATTTCTTTAAAAAAAATCTCTTTAACTTTACTATAAAATTAAATGCATATCATACTGACATTATGATTTTAACTGCATAATATTGCAGCTTTTTTAAAGAAGGTCAGGATTCAGAGGCTATTCTATTTTACTCAAAAATACTCACTGGGCTTAGCTTGACTTCAACTGTGCATGTTACCATTTTTAATACCATTTTTAACACACACACACACACACACACACACACACAAGGGCCATGTTACGCTTGCCTGTAGTGAAGTGGACTGGTACAAGACATTCCGCCCTAACCCTAAATTAGTGGCCGCATGTTTCTGCTAAGAGATAGCGAGACAGATGTGGAGAGCACTTGCATGTTTCTCCTGTAAAGCTGAGCAGTAAAAAGGGCACACCCTTGGAGTTTCTTTCTCCCGAGCTCTGAATTTGAGGGTGGAAACCTTCTGGGAAATGACAGATGGGTGCGGATGCCTGGATTCAAGTGGTCAAAATATATGTGGTGCAGTAATATCAAGGTGAGCTAAATACAAGGTGCAGAACATCCATTCAGGAGTCGCCTGTGGTTTCTGAAAACGCCAGTCTGCCCTTATGAAACATAGGATTCTACAGTGTAGCCTGTGTCACTGGAAAAGTAAAAGGGGATGTTAAAAAATCACAGGTTCATATCTGCTGTTTGTGTGACAGTACAGTCCAAGTCTGGTTTGAAATTGACAACACCGGTGATGTGGTTATAATCAGACAGGTCCTTAAACTACAAATATCCAGTTTTTGGTATTTACTGTGTTTGCATATAGATTCTCTGTGTACTCAGCCCCCCCTCCTCAGTCCAAAAACAGGGAGGATTAAGTTGGTTGTTCACTCTAAGTTGGCCATAGGTGTGAATGTAAGGACTGCTGTGATTGGCTGCAGCCTACACGTGACACTAAAAAGAACAGAACCAGAGACAGCAGGAGAGGAGATAAATACAAAGTTGTGTCACTGACTGAATGTCAGCTTCAGCCTTTTTAACCTAGTTTGTAAGTTATCATAGACGTCCACATGCACAGATTTTGTTGTGTTCCCCGTGAGCTTTTTCAGTTAGGTTAAAATCCCTTTAACTCTGAACTTCCTGTTGGTGGACACATTAACAGTGTTAAAGTGTTCAGGTCTGAGGCAGCTTCACAGAACTGGCAGCTGACTGTACAGAAGTCAGTGTTAATTATACATCAACCACAGTTCCATCTTCAACCACACCTTCAGGATTAGGCAGTGGTGGCGCTAGAGATTGATTATTTCTGCGTCTCCTCTCAACTCTGTGTGTTTGTGTGCACACATCTGGGTGGGTGTGATACTACTGAGCTCACGAGTGATGACATAAACTATGTTTTGATATGAGGAAATGTGTTACAGAAGAAACTGTGTTTATTCTACAGGGCCTCAGATCAGCTGTTTCCCTCCAAGCAATTTCACCATAAAGCAGGCCAGCTATGTGGACACGTACTGCTGGGACTCTCTCATGCATCATGAGTTTAACGGTGAAGGAAATTTCGAGGAGCGTTCTCTTTGGGTTCACAAGGTAAGTAACAGCTTAGACCTGACTCCTCTTGTTAGTCCCTAAGATCATTTGCTTGGAATGAATGTACTGTAAAAATCAGGGCTCTCAAACAATTTATAATTTTAATCAGATAAACCAAGCAAAGCTGTGTATTATTCACAATTAATCATGATGAATCTGGATCGTATTAATCTTGATTAATCATGATTTGTAAATCGGAATAAATAATGTAGTTATTTTTCTATGGTTATGGAACAAAGAGATGAATAAAAGCAGGAAGATAAATGTGTTTGTGTTTGTTGCTACTTTACCACTGCTTTGTTTCTCTCTTTTCTTCATCACTTTTTTTCCTTACTGTCTGAGCAGATGTTCCCTTACTCTCTGCTGGCCATGGCAGTGCTGATGTACCTGCCAGCTCTGATCTGGCGCCAGCTCGTCATGCCCACGCTGGGCTCAGACCTGCTATTCATAATTGAGGAACTAGACAAGTCATACAACCGCTCCATACGAATGGCTCAGAGCATCCTGGACATGCGGCAGAACACCAAGAATCCTCTCACATTTCAGGCTGAGCTGCAGAGGTAAAAGTCCTGTGACCTCATTAAGTCACCTTTACCAATTAAATTTATATATTAAACGTTGTTTTGTGTGTTTTGAACTTTGAAATTGTACATGTATGGAGTAGAATTAAAAGAGAAAGCGTGAGTCATGGGGAAAGACTTTAAAAATCACAGGTGTGATCTCATGCTGTCAGTTACTATTTTATTAACCGTTACATCCAGGGAAGTAAGAGATATAATTGGCTACCTTTTTTGATATACCCTTGAGCAAGGTTGAAATCTCAGAGTAGCTCAAATTTTGTTTGGGAGGCTGCCAGCCATAAATGTGTTATAGCTGTGTGAACACGGATGAACACGCTGTTGAATTTCATGCCCTTGTCTGATTTCAGAGCCAAGAAGAAGCGTTACTTTGAGTACCCCCTGCTGGAGAGATACCTGCAGTGCAAACAAAATTCTTACTTCCTTGTGAGCATGCTTTTCTTGCGGGGTTTCCTCCTGCTGACCTTCATGACTGCAGCGTGTCTGTACCTGGCCTACTTCCACCTGTCAGCCTTCCTACAGGATGAGTTCAGCTGCTTCGTCCGCACAGGGATTCTGCGCGACCAAAGCTGGGTGCCTGAGCTGGTTCAGTGTAAAATGATCGGCCAGTTGGTATTCCAGGTGATAAGTGTGGCCAACGGTGCCATCTACGTCCTGTTGGCTCCTATCGTGCTCTTCAGCCTAATCCGACTCTTTGTCTGGGACACCACCTTCTTTTCTGTCTACGAGGTCCTTCCAGCCCTGGACCTCATTAACCGGCGCAGACTTGGCTGCCCTCTCAATGACCTCAATGTTCTCCTGCTGTTCTTGCGCGCTAATGTGGCACACTTAAACTCCTACGGAAAGGTCAGGGCATTGTGCTCACTGGCGCCGCCGCAGGTGGGAAACACCACAGCAGCACAAGGCATAAATGCAATGCTGAGCCAAGAGGCCATAGAGGAGCGCGAGGAGGCTGCCATGGAGCTCGCAGAGGAGGTGGAGGAGGCCAAGGAGGAAGGAAAGCTAAATTTGGTGGACATCATGACTATTCTGGGAGCTGCTCAGGGAAGAGTGGTAAACTGCAATGAGAAGAGACCTCTAGTGGAGGAGGATATGAGCCTGGGTACCGTAACATTTATCTACACATTCAAGCGCATTCTGCTAGTGGCTATTTTTGTTTACATCATTTGGGACGTACAAAAAATCATCAAGTAAAAATACAGACTATGTCAAGAAATGGTTTTAATTTTAAAAAATCTGCATAATTCCATTCCATCTAGAACCAGCTGAGCAATTTTAAGCAGAGACTTTTTTTTGTTAATGACTTTGTGTCTTTCTGCCTTTATGAGTCTTTATGGCCCGGTTTCTAAAACATTAAAGACATTAAAGACATTAAAAATCAGATGGCAAATGTAGAAGAGATGGATATGTGGTATTTCAAAATTTTCCAGCCCTAACTGCCCTCTCTGTCTCTTCACAGAGCCAAACCACCAGGGGTACCATGAGTTGAAGGAGACCACACCATTTAGTCATTACTAGGCCTCCTGTGGACTGACACAGTGGGGTAATAGGGGGGTTGACACTGTCGACAGTAGTTTTTCATCAGTAGTGAACACACTTAGACTGTCGACACCAATCATTAGTCTCCTCCTTGGAAGACAAAAATAAAAACCTCTGTTATAATTACAGGAGAATTGCTTCGGCTGGTCAGAAGGTATGGAATGTGTCTGTTTTTGGCAACTGCGTTGGTAAATTTACTTTCACCTGGAACTACTATAGTTTATGGTACCAAGCTGTTGTAAATAGGTTTATGGATACAATCATTTTATTTATAAATATTCAAATCCATACAATTGACTAAACCTGATGTTACTTTTACTTCAACATTATTAGTACAGTTTTTGGATCTTGCTATGACTGAAAAAGATGCAGGCTCCCTCTGGTGGCCCTTCAGGAATTACCAAGACCAGAAAATACGTGTGTGTGAGTCAGGCTGCACTTGTGTGTAAATTTAATCTGTAATAAAACAGTTCCCATTTAATAAAAGTCAGTAAGACCATCTTGGGCTGGGTGAAGTTTTATAAGAAACACAATGTAATACAATGTAAGTTGAAGTTCTTTTTGTTCAGTTACTCAGTGTTGTTATTTATATTCTTGCCGTCTTCTTCACTTTTTCTTTTTTGTGGTTTGGTTTTCTAGACAGAAAGATAAGGAAAAGATTAAGTTAACCTCTCTGTGAATTTGTTTCAGTGTTTGATCTGTTCTGTTGTTCTGCTCTGATAAAATAAATCCAGTTGGTGTTGTAGTTGTAGTGCCTTTTGTTATTCCATTATGTTCAACTCAAAAGCCAGCAGTTTTCTTCAACCTAAACTGAACTACTCATTTAAGCTTAGCAGAAAGAGACTTGTCTTGGCTTTGGTGTGACTTATTTATAGGACCTGTAATTCCAGAACTGGGAAGACTGAGCTCTTGTGTGTGGTCAAATACTGGTCTGGAAAAGGTACACGCCACGTACGCTGATTTGTCCATTTTCATTGTGTCAATTATTCCATTGAAGGTCATTGTAGTTCATGGATACTGAATTCTAATTTCTGCAAAATTTCTACAGGAATGCACATAATCTTATAAAGTTTTACTGAATATTCCTGAGAATGTGTGCTTGTAGTGTAGTTCAGATTAGCTGCTCTTTAGGCAGATAATACAGTAGCCAGGGCTGTATGGCAGTGTTGTGGTTGTGCTCTGTTTAGAGCTGAGCTCTTTGGATCTTCTCGGGAAGATGGCCTTTTTTTTAGTGTTTTTCCATTGAATTCTGATCGTTTTGAACATATAACCTTTAACTCTTTTTGGAAGTACTGAACCTCAACCATTTGAAACAGAACCACAACAAGACAAGTCTATTATTATGCTTGTCCAGATTAGTATTACAAGAGCAATGCAACACAAACCACTTCCTAACAAGACCCTTACACTAAGTCTGGGTGTATCCCATAATCATGAGATAAATAGTTCCTAATGGAAAAAAGTATGCGAATATTATATCAACATTTACATAGGGGCCCAATGTACATTGCATTGTTCTAAAATGCATAATAAGAGACCAGTAAAAACAACATTTAGTCAAGGATTCCACCTGAAAAACCTTTTGGCTTCTGTTAAAGAACACTCTGATTCTGTCTACTTTAAAAATGGGTATAGTTTTTACACAGCTGTGAGGCTTTAAAGAAATATTTACCTGCTATTTATTTCTCCTGCCAGAATTTATTGGCGGAAAAACACAGACTGCCTCATCATTACAAATCAGAAAAACACAACAGATGGTCGTATTTTGAACGTCAAAACAAAAAAAGAAAAAAAAACGGTTCTTTATGGTGGGGTTATTTAAGCTGCAGCTGTCTGCTTCGGACCACTTGAGGGCGTTGTTGAGTCGCGCCTAACCCCGACTCTCTGGTTTGTTTTGATTCGTTTGTATTAATTTTAGGCTGCGCCACTAGTGGGGGTCACCCTTGTTATTTATATTTCCTGTAATCAAAACCAAAATGAATGCAGTCTAATTCAAACCAGCCCTTATCAGGTGTTCACCAGGTCCAGTCCCCTCTGCCAGTGCAAAAGCTTCTGTGCTTCAGCCAATTTCCCCGAGCCATGGAGTATGAGAAGGCAGTGCTGCTTTGATTGGAGCACTGCCTTCAGAATCATGGAGCTGCTGTCGATCTTTAGAAAGGGAATGTCAGCAGACCAGACACCCACCCTGCTTTTTTTTCCCAATCAGTGCTGCACCAAAAATCGAAAAGAAAAAAAAAACGAAACAAAACAACAACAAAAAAAGATATTGTGTTGTACAGAATTACTTTATTGTGTTTACTGAGGTGGAATAATGTACTATGCAGGTGTATGTGTAGTGTTAATGCAGCGGTGACAGAGGGGAGCTGTGGATCCATGTACAATAGTTGGATGAACAGAAGTCAAACAGATTCATTTGTGCATTTTTCATTTGTACATACAAACCATCATGAAGCCAGCAGTACAGCGATGTAAGTCAGTTAAGTGTTTTTAAATGTTGAATATTATGATGCTAAAACCTGTTGAAAAATGTATGTTTGTACTGTTTGTGGCAGTTGGAATAAAATAGCAGGTGACATTTAGTTCAGTGGAGTGTGCTTAGGTCCCGTCAAAGTCAAGTGGATACTCCTGACAACTACTCTTCAACATTTTACTGGCATCTACTCCTGCTGCACATACTTTACACAAGCACCTCTCTATCACTTCTTTTGCCTCAGTTTTTCCGGCTTTATGATGTCTTACTACTGATGACATCGTTCTTAGAGGTTTGTTGTATCTAGACAAGCTTGTGTGGTTCTTCTGTTGGCACATTTCGAGCATTTGCTACTCCTACGTTCACCATCGACTCATGTCAAGATAAAAACTTTTACTTCATTTGCCTCGTACAGCAACAGCCATTTACACCCAGGACCATCAATGCAGATTCCCATTTTCCAGCTTGTGGTGCATAGACATTAAAAACTTCTGGTTTTGGATTCAGATCAGGTCATGAACCTGTTCTTTTGAGATGATTGCTGCTCCTTTCCTCCTCTTATCTACACCGTAGTAAAATGTTTCCAAACTCCTTCCTAAGCTTCTGTCTTTGCTGCCTTTACATCTGGACTCTTGAATACGTAGATCTACTGCATCTACTGTACCTTCCATCTCACTACTACAGTAGGTCTGCCGACAGTTGGCTAGCGATTTTCTCACATTCAAAGTCCTCACTCTACCTCTACCCTCTTGGTTTTTTTCACAGAGCGTGCTCTCTCAAGTCGCAGCATTCTTTCCTAGATAGATATAAAACACCACATCACGGCTTCTGCAGCACGACTCCATTCAAACTGACCTCACGTATCAGAGGTGCTGCTGCTGCTGAGGCTCTAAAAGAGCTTGTATTTAGAACTGGACAATCGTTCCCAGACTGATGGTTGAAAAAAATTCACATAACCATTGGATTTTTGTTAGTTTAGTTTTTTCCTTTAATTGTGATGTTTTGTTTTTTTGGACAATGACAGTGGTACTGCGTTGGACAGGCATGTAACACAGTGATGTATTAAGGAAGGAAAGTGAACTCAATGAACAAAATGTGACCTCTGTTTTTAACCCATCACCAAAGCGAACAGTGGGCAGCTTTTTGAGCACCCAGGGAGCAGTGTGTGGAGACGGTGCCATGCTCAGCACCTCAGTGGTAACTTGGCAGCTGGTAGATTTGAACTTGCAACCTTCCGGACCCAATTCCGAGTCAATCCCAGCAGCGAGGGCTTGTAACACCTCCACCTTGTGGCCTACGTCGTGTGTCACAGAATTCCTTTTTACAAATTTTCAGCATTGATAAGTGAAATGGCAGCATTTTTAAAAATGTTTATTATTTCTTAATCTAGTAAATTACATCAAAAATGGATCATTAAATCTGTTTTTATTACATGAAACAAGTAATTATTTCAAAAATAACCAAAAACAAGAAAACAAAAAACTATTGGATTAATTTAAAATTTAAATAAAGAGACAGGACAGGTTTGTTGTTTGGTTTATTTTCCAGGGTTGCCAAACTTCTCCTGGGCCTTAGCATTTGGTGCTAATCCTCACACCTGCTAATGTTTGGCAATTTACAGTGCATGCGATTCACTGTTGGGGACCATCTGGGAAAGTTTATCATCATAGTTTTTTTATATATATATAAGCCTGTGTTTATGAAATAATTATTAATACAAATTAAATAATTCTATTGTAAAGCAACTCTTACCTGCCTGGTTGACACCTATAAGTATCTCCTGTAACCCTGTCTACAACAGGCTTTGCTGTGTGCAGAGCCTAATCACCCCACGGACGAATAAGCTGAGTGAACTCCTGGTGGTGACAACATGCAAAACAGTAGCTGATAGGAAACCGTTAAACGTGGCTGACGTGACCTTCAGCCCTGCACAGAATTGATCCACAAACGGTTGGCTTGCCCACACGGCCACGTAATAAATGACAGAGCCACAAATGAAAGGTGATCGCCACAGAGAGGAGAAAACACACACTCAGGCATTTTTCTGCTGTTGTTGCTCATTAAGAGAAACTTGTTTAAAAAAAAAAAAAGAACTGCTGCAGTCCTCACTGACCTCTCTCAGCGCAGAGTTCCTCATTTATGGTACAGGGGGCGATGTTGCCATCCTACATTTGTTTAAACAAAAGTATAACTTTTTACAAAAACTTTTCTTCATCTGATTGTGTACTTGTTTATATGTGGTGGAGGCGTCAATAAAAATTCTTCAAAAAAGAAAAAAAAAACTATAACAGGATTAGCATTTTCTTTTTACAGTTCTAGTTTTGTTCTTGTGCTACAGTAACATGGAATCCTTGCCTTTTTATCTTGACTTTACTCTTGATTTACATTTGTACATTTAAGTCCAGCACAAAGTATATACAAATGTTGTTATTGTTTTAACGTAGTCTTCACACTTAATTAACTGAACTTAGACAGTGGAAGGAAACCAGAGTAGCTGGAGAAAACCCACGCTCATATGGGATGGACGTGTTAACCCTGTAAGTACACACCAACAGGCGCTACTGGGCTTAAACTGGTTAATGCAATTCTCGCTGTATGGATTGCATTAACCACTCTTCCACCGTGTGGCCTTCAACGTATTTGATTTTCCTGACCATCCTTGTTAGATAACCAGACCGAGAGCCCTTCTCCTCCAAATAAGAAGTTGTGAATGCTGCAGTATCAAACACCCACCCAACACCTGCTGTACTTCCTTCAGTGACGTGGATGTGCTGCAGCATGAATCACTTTAAGTACTTCAGCGGTCTGATTTCAGTTATTCAAGAGCTTTACCCTGTAAATCACCGACTCCGATTTGTGTAAAATACACTGTTCTCATTGCAAACACAATGCCATTATAGTCGTCTCTTAAACATGTAAATTTGTCCATTTGTGTTACCACCCACATCCAATAGAAAGAATTTAATGTTCAACATTTCAGCTGAATAAATGTTTGAACATTATGGTTCTGATGTGTAGATTTGAACATGGGGCTTCTCAGCCACTGGGTATGATACATGTTGAAATTATTTTACTCCTAATCTCAGCAGACAGAAGAGGTGTGTGTGGTAAAAAAAAAACAAAAAAAGAAAACACTGACACAACCAAGCAGCCTGAGCAACATCTGGTGATTTTTGGCAGTGATGTGAGAATGTGAGAGTGATGTTAGTATCTTTCTTTCTTGAAACCATAACCTTAAAATATCAGGTTTTTGTCCAACATTATTATTTGTTGTTTATTAGAAAGTAGAGAAAAAAAGACACTTGAGACACATGGATTATTTCGTTGTTTGTCCAATGTGTCAGGCAAGATTTACCTTTGGTGCCTCCAAAATATAAATACGTTTTTTTCTGGTCATACTGGAGGGTTTTCAGCTTAAACTAAGTACACTGTAAACCACTCTAAAAACTCTCTATATTATTATAAAACTTAAGCCTGCTGTTGGAATTGTACATGCCATTTTTGAATGATAACTGAAACAATACATTTTATTTAGCTTGCCAAATGCCGATATATGAATTTATAAGACTCTATGGAAACCCACATTATGACCGTTAAGAACAACTGAAAGCGCTGCCGGCTGTTTAAAAAAAGTAAAGATTGACAGCCCAACAGACCAATCATATCTAACCAATGCGTGATAACCCGCCCACCTCAATCAGCACTGGTGTTTGTTTGTTTGGAAAGCACAGGTGTTTGTAAATGAGCTTGGCCACGGGCCGCATTACTAGGGAATATTGCTGTTGACTTTTTATCCTATTTGTTTGTCAAGAAAGTTATTTATATAGTGACGAGTTAACCCAAATGATGACAACTGCACCAGCTGAAAGACGAAAACCCGAGAAAGACACCAAGGAACGTGACATGGAAACAGCGCAGTCACCATTAAATCGCAGCATCTAGTTTGTAAGTTCTGCACTTCCATTTTATTGTTAATAACGTTTTTTGGGCTTTAATTCATATTTCTGTGTCAGGTTATTTCTGCTTGTGTGTTCCTTGACCATGGAAGTTTGGGTGTTTACACTGTGTGGAATGTTTAAAAACATAGTGTTCCAGCGTTGTCGCTTGTTTAGATATCATCATAGCAGGCCTCACTACTGATTTTAATTATGTCTATGCATTGATGCAATGTTGTAAGAGAAGGACTGAGTGAATAACCTTTTTTCAGTCTGATGATAAAATTACGTATGCATTCACTTTTTTAAAAAGATGAAATGTCACATTTTCCACATTTTTGGGGGTTGTTACTTTCATCTCCATTTTGAATGCATATACTAAACACGCATTTATTTGACTTATTTTTTATTGGTCAATTATTTTTCAGTTTATTCTGGATATGTTGAAGCTGAACCTATGTTTGGGTTGGTCAAATTTATTAGCGGTGGCTATTGTTTCTCACCATTTTGTTTCTGGTAGGGCCAAGTTTCTGATAGGGCCAAGTTTCTGGTAGGGCCAAAATGGAAGCCTGTCAGCATTTTCAGGGCCAAAATGGAAGCCTGTCAGCATTTCTGTGGTCCAATTGTAATTAAGTAGATAGTAAAAATGTAGAATGAAGGTTATTGTGAAAATAAAAACTATACCTACTATAAGCAAAGTCAAAATTTTTTGTTTGTTAGAAAAATAATTTCCTAGTTTTAGTTTTAAACTCGCTGTCGTCCATTGTTGACTCCAGTAGAGAGGCTTGAACGAAAAAGTCCATTTTCAGTTCTTTGCCCATAGCAGGTAGAGGTGAGATGGTTCGCTTTTTATTGGCATGTCAGGTTCTGCTGTTGTGGTTTAAATGGAATGGGCTGAACACATAAATAAGTTTGGAGTGTGTGGGGGTGCATGCAGTGGCAGCGTGTGCTTCCCAGCCATACAATAAATATCCTAGCTGTCTGTCTGATGCTGCTGAGTGAAAGCTCAGTGTTGACTGATGCCTTCTTCAGTGAGAGAAAGGAAGTCGAAAAAGTGAGCAAAGGGATGAGTCGTATAAATGTACCTGCTCGGCTTATCTGCATCTATCTCATCTGTCGACAGTCCTGATGCATGGCACTCATTCCAGTGGAGTGGGCAAGTGTGCTTTTTGTAGGGGTGTTTGTGCCGAGATCTGAAGGTGTGGGGCCGACAGCTGGCCTTAAGTAAACATTTATGTTGTGTCCTCATGTATAAAAGTAGTACACCACTCAGATATGCAACCTCCAATCCCTGAGGTACAGCAGATACAATCTTGGTACGATTTACTTTCTATTTCTTGGCTATAATCAAATGCAAAAAAAAAAAAAAAAAGTAGGGCCCCTTGATTTAAAAAAAACCCAAAATGTGTTAAAATAAGTCAGTGAAAACATTTACATGCACAAAAGGGAGCAACTCTCACTCCTAAAATAATGGAATTATTGGGTGAATTTTTTTAAAATTCAGGTAGTTCACATGAATCTTCAGTCAGTGAAATAACATATTTGTGTAGTTCAATTGTGATTGCTGTACAGAATATCAAAGGATGATGGACTGAAACTGACGTCCAAACTTGTATTTATATAATGATGTTGTCTGTAACCAGGCTTGCATTGTATACACACTTAAACAGACTCTCCCCTGCATTAACAAAATCTACATGTTGCTACAGAAAGCAAAACATAGACCTAATAGTATTTGAAAAAAAAAACAAACCCTTATATTGGCAGTGTCATTTAAATAGCCTCACATGTCAAATTTGTTTTTTATTTATTTGTGACAATTTATTTTTGTAATATCGAATGTGACTGTACAATAGTTTGCTTTGTGTTTACTTTGATGTAATAACTACGTTAAACTTGAACATACTTACCTTCAGCAGCTTGTGGCCATTGTTGCAGTTGATTTCAGTACTAAGTTAGTTGTATTCCTGTACTTGTACTGCAGTGAGCAGTACACTCCTTCTCCACTCCTTCACTGGATATTCTTCATATACTGTATCTTTAAGCATCATTAAAGGGTGTGTATATGATGCCAGTCCTGTAGGGGCCAGTTGTGCTATAGCTGCCCTGTCTTACATTTAAAAAATCATCACAAACTGCATGTTATAGTTTATGGTGTAAATAATAAGAAGCTTGCTATAACATAGCTGAATTTGCTATACTCCCTGCTGAGAGTTCATAGAGATAGGGGACATACCAACAGTACCAGTTTAAAGAAAATACATTACATGTTTGCTCTACATTTCCAAAGCCAGTCTGCATGTATTGTGACTAAAGAACAATGAATACTCGGAGTCCTGTTGCAAAATGATCAAACCAAAGGAAAACAAAACATTTCCTTTCATCTGCGATGGTGTATTGTGATAAAAATGTCTTTCGAAAGTTTGCAAAAATCTACAACTTAACATATAGTCCAGACTGCTGTTTTGGCGATACTTGTTTACCTTTCATAATTTAGAATGCAGCTCTATGACAGTAATCTGCAATTCCAAATCATCGACATCAGAAAAAAAAAGGTGCGAACATGAAATGTGACTGAGTTTCTTTGGTCAACTAATGAAATATTCTATAAAATCACATTTTGACAATTTTACTGTGCATTTTACAGTGGTATGACATAAAAGGATGACAAAAAAAAACACACATAAAAGTGTCTTTTATAAGTAATCTATGTTGCCCCAGCAACAGAAAGCAGACCAAAGGGTACTGCATTTGAATATATAAATATGTAAAACTCCAAGGTGTTTAATCTTTAAACAACCATTGCAAACAATATGGATTTTAGCACGTCAGCTATGAGTCAATCCTCAAATCAGAAATTGATAGAAAACCTCCAAAAGGAGTTAATTAACCTTCAAGGTACTATCCTGGAAGTGTTTTCTAAAACGGGAAAAGTCAGATTTCCGTCCTGGAAATTTCCAGATAAACTCTCCTGTGACCTCGACATGGTGGCTCTGTTAGGCCAATATGACTTTGTGGATGAAGACTGGGCCTTGAATCAAGATTCCCATACAGTCCTGTTGGAGCTAGTGATTGACAGGTAATACAATAAACTATTAGATGTTTTTCTATTTTTATTGGGCTGATGTGTAAACTGTAGTTTAGGAGCGTTATAATTGTTTAATTGTAATTCATCCCAAGTCTTTCCTTTTAATTAAATTTCATTAAACATTTCCATGTGTTGATGAATAAGTCACGTTTTAGATGAAATAAAGCTAAACAAAATATTTTTTTAAGAAAGGCGGTATATAAATCCCAGTTATTATTTGTTATTGTTCTGTAATTGTTGGACATTTTATTTCAAAATCAATTACAATTATTGGAAACCAACATGTTAAAGTCTAAGCCCTAATTTGTTTTTTCTACTCTCTTAGACTACTGCTGCTTCTTCAAGGCTTCAGTTTGTACATTCATCACATGTGTCAAAGTCAACGGAGAGAGCAGAGCCAGAAGAAAGGATCTCTGTCACTTGGTTTTGTGGTCAAAAACTACTGGAGGAATTTAGTACATTTTGTCAGTCTTAAGGTAAGATTGTTTTTTATTTATTTTATTTTATATAACATTTTGTTGTCTGTGTTTGGATTAAAAATAAATTAAAGTAACAGAGAAAAGTAAATTTCTTTTCCCCCACTTTCTTCCTTTAGGTTATTCAAAAAGACAATGAAGAATGGACACACACAATGACACAGGACTGTGAAGCGATGGCGATGAGCCCGAAAAGTGATAGTTCCAGTCATAGTTTATCAGCCTGCTCCTCAACAAGTGCTTTTAGCTCTTTACCACAGAGCCAGGTGCCCTCTAGTCTTTCACACAGTTCCCAATCCTCACCAAAGGTTTACACCTGCAGTGCTGGCTGCCAGACAGTCGAATCATCCAGTCCCTGCAAGGTGTGTCGTCAAGTGCAATCTATTTTGAAAAAGACAGGAAATTCTTTGGTGGAGATCTTCCTGAGAGAGGGTCTACCCTCTTCCATACGGCCCGTGTTGGCTGCCATGAAGGACACTTTAGAGCTGGGCCGTATGACCGAAATGGATGTCACCCAGTGGACCAAAGAACAGCTCAGGGACATGCGCCGATTGGGAGAACATCTACAAAATGTACGCGATACAGTAGAGCCTCTCAAAGGAAAGGTGTCAGCAGCAGAGGCAGAGAAGGAGAAATTGAAGAATCAAGTGGAAAGAGCACAGAAAGAATTAAAAGAGCACACAGAAAGAAGTCTGAGAAACGAGAAGACCATTAACAAACTGGAGTTGAGACTTAAGGAAACCCAACTATCTATTGAAGCTGCAGACCAAAGGCTACGAGAAAATCAACAGCACTATAAAAAAGGTGAACAAATATGATGGCATACATTTACATTAAAAATGTTTCGATTTTTTTTAAACATTTCTCATATTAACAGAACTCTTTTCCTTGGAGGACCACAACGCCACATTAAAAGAGACATTTTCAGCACAGCAAAATACATTAAAGGCACTCGGTAAGGTCACGTGTAATATACGTACAGTATGTCTCCCTGGATACTTTCATTCATCCAGCTCATTGATCGCAGAATTTTAAGGGTATTTGGAAGAAACATGTAAAATATACTTTGTGTTTTTGTGGCTTGATGTATAATATATTTATTAATATATATTTTTTTTAGAATGTGAAAAGATTGCATTTGAGGAGAAGGTAAAGGTAGGAAATGAGGCCTGTTGTCAACTGCAACAAAAGGTAGAGCAAGTGGAGAGTCAACTCTCCAAAACCCAGATGCTTCTGGACAAAGAATGTGCCAAGTATCGCAGCACATGCCAACAGCAAGAGGTCAGTATTACAATATATATACTGGACAGAACGCATGTGTAGGGCAGCGATAAGGTCGCACCCTTGATCTTTTTTGCCTCCAAGACACTTGCTGTCGCCTCAGGCTGTGGCAGCGATTATGGTATTGCATTGATTTTACTAATATGCATTTAAACGTGTGTCACAGTGCTGTCAACAGATCAGTTTTGTCACACTGTTAAATCACTCTTACTCTTCTAACCTGCATTGTTTCTCTGTAATCATGTCTCATACATGTCAACATGCATGTGACCCATATACATTAGTTTTCTTTTTTTATTTTTTAGTCAGTCGTGACAAAGCAGACATTCTTGTTGGAGAGAGTTGATGCACTTGATAAAGAATGTGAAGAGCTGCAGAGGCAATTGGAAGAGAGGGAGGAGAGACATGTCACTCTACAGACAAAGCTCCAACAAATGTCAACAGAGAAGGAGCTGCTGCTGGTTGAGCTCACTCAACAGCGGGTATATATATATATACATTTATGTAAATCTATCGACCTGCAACCATGTGTAAAATGGATATCCTTAAATCTTTAGATCAGGTACGTCATGCGTGGGTGTATTTTTATGTTGAATATTTTTGTCTCTAAGGATGGCAGTTTAGAGCTTCAAAAAGAGAACCAGAAGCTGGAATCAAGCATAATTGAGCTGAATGAAAGCAAGGCTGAGCTGAAGGCTTATGCAGAGGTTTTGATGGAGAGGGAGAGGCTGCTGGTAGCTTTCCCTCAGCTTTCTCTCCAACCTCAAGCCCAACCAGAGAGTAGGCATTTACTTACTCTTCTTTAATAAAACACCTATTGACAATCGATAATACAGATAAACACTCAGTCAGGTTACAGGTTTGCACCTGCATTGCGTTCTGCATAATATTTATGTATTTTAGTTTATTAATAATGTATTATTGTAATTTATTAAGTTAGGTGACATCATGTGTGTATATATACATGTGTTGTGTGTGTATATATGTATTTTATACATTATTTACTTTATGCAACTGCAACGTGATATAGTACATAATGATCTATGTATCCTTCTAAGGTACTGGAGATGTAATTTTGGATATGGAGTTGCAAATGCAAGCGAATTGCCTCCGCATGCTAGTTCTGCAGCAGGAAAATGCCAACCTGCACAGTACACTTGAAAAACTAAGAGATAGGATGCACAGTACATGCCCAATGGTAAGATGCTGTGACATTTTCATGTGATTCATGTGAAACTTAAATGTATATATTGGATAACAATGTAATGTATTTTGCTGCCAGGAACCTTCACCTGGGCAGAAATCTTTCCAGCAAACTGAGCAGACACTAGCACCGCAGTTTGTTACAACACACCTCACACCTCATGTACTTTGGACAAACGGTAAAAACCTAGAAGACACACAGCAAAAGGAAAGAAGTCTGAACCTAACCAGATCAAAGGGTTGTGTTTCTCCAACCGATGCCTTGTTTGCTCAAATGGACCGACAAACCCTGAACCTCAACATGGCAGACTCTGTTCTATCTAAAATCCATACAAATGCTTTCAATCCTAACGCTGCTTCTAACAGAGGTTGGAAGCAGAGTGGGAAATAAACTGTGTGCTCTTGGATAATACAAAACAAATGATAGTGAAACTTACAATATGATAAGTTGATGCTATAGAGTATTAGGCCTGTGGCTGATAATGTGATCACATCAAGGACCGAGTCAAAGAAACCTGCAAGCGTTTGTTTTGAAGGGCATTTAATCAATATCTGTCCAGCAGTTTCTCAGTGACCAACAATGACAAAGTTTGTATCGATTTCAACTCTTTTATTAGGTGGTGAAATTAAGTTTAATACAAATTAAACCCCTCAAATTTTAAAGTCACTGCTTTGTTATCAAAAATAATTTATTTTCATTATTCGACGACAACTGTAGCCAAGCTGTATTAATGCCCTTTGGAGTCATTAAAAATTTAGTGGTCTAGGCTTTAATGCCAGGCGTGTTATTTATTTATAATATACTGTACAATCCTATTTAGTTTAAAATAGAGAGTAATGCACTGTTTAGGATTACATATTGTAAATAATCTGTAGCTGAACTGACCAATAGGCACTTGGTCAGAAACTATAAATACATCAATGTACAGAAACACAGATTTCCCAAAACCATTCTTCTAAAGCTGACACACAAGAAGCCCAACAGTCAATATTATTTTTCTTGTAAGTCTTTATTAACAATATTGACATCAGATTAATAAGGGCTGTGCTTGACTAGAATTAAATATTTAAGAACAGCGGTCAACGTGGGAGGACAGGGTTTTCAGGTATTATTTGAGAGCTCAGTATAAGATTTGTTTCTGAAGAGCCAGAACAATCGTCTCCAAACGGGCATCTTGTTTTTTTTCTGGAATGGCTTCAGTTGGGTCTCAAGTGTCTGTATTCTGCTGGTGAGTTCACCTCTGTGTTTGTTGGTCTCCTTTTTCTGCGCGTCCAGTGCCTGAGAGGTGCTCCTGAGAGACTCCAGGATGGAAATCTTTTCCTGCTCCCACTGGAATCTCTCCAGTTCCTTCTCCCTCTTTGTTTGTTGCAGTGCTGCCTCGAGGCTGGCCTTTTCCTGTGTTTGTTCCTCCAGCAGACAGGCCCTCTCAACCTCCCACTGGTGTTTTGAATACTCCAAGGCCTTTTCTGTCTGAACCAGTGCATTTCGGAGCAGGGCTGTCTCCTCCACTTGTCTTACCAAACAGAACTGGACCTCCTCCATCTTCTCTGTCTCAAACTTGAGGGGCTCCTGTAGAGCCTGTAGCTTTTTGTTGGAATCCCACTCCTCCTTTGATAGACTGGACAAGCTGACAGTGAGGCCTGCTCTCTTCTCAGTTGTGGCGGATATCTGCTTCCTCAGCTCCACTACCTGCTTCACCATGGTTAAGTTTTCATGTTCCAGAAAGTTGATCTGCTCATCTTTCTCATTCATAAAATCATTCAACTCAGTCTTGGTCATGGGAATTACCAAGCCAGGATCGGCATACTGTGTTGCCAAGGATACAGGGGTTGACATCACTACCTTTACTCCTTATTGTAACACTACAGTTGGTAAAAAAAAAAAAAAAAACTTCTTCAGAAATGTAGAATGTATTTTGGCATCAGTATTGTTGCATCACTGCTCTTTTCAGGAGTTGTGGTCTTTATTTTCCTGTTCTTTTTGCTGTTTTCTGTGCAGTGCAATTGTTTTTCTTCTGTAGACAGAAGAGCAGTTGGCATTATGTGATATTATTACCTCATTGTATTTACTTTTGTTTCTTTTTAGTTGTGCATCAACCCTCTTAAACCTTATGAATCCTATTAATAAAAGCAATTTCAATGATTCACCCTTCAAAGGATCAAAGCCAAAGCCTTTTAAGCCATGATTTTGCATCGTCACGTCTTGTTTTTCTTTACATACTGCCGGTCAAAATATATACATGAAAACAAAACAGCATGACCTCAAAAACTCATCTTAATCTCCTTGGAAGACAAGCTTTTCCTTTCCTTTTCTTCTCAGTGATGCTGCATCACAAAATCTCTCACTGTCCACACTTGTGTAAGGCATACAGAGAAGCTTGGCTGCAGTCACCACCAGTAAGGGAAATTGAGCAGCATTAGCTCTGCAGTGCTGTAGTGGATTGTCTGACCTAGTATAGTTCTTTCTCATTGTCTTGATTCCCTGGTCAGTGGCCCTGCTGTCTGATAGGAGGCGCTGTCAGGGTAGAAATCAAATCAGCTGTGGTTGCAGTCTTGCCACATAACCACACTGCTAACTTCTTCAAATGCTGATCAAACTTGAGACTGGTTTTCTCCACTGTTTCCACAGGCTTGCTGTCAGTGTGGCTGGGAGGCTGTGGTCTGTAGCACAGATATGCAAGGCTTGTTTTGGACCTGGGGGCTTTTGTGTCTTATAGATGGTGATTTTCTATTTTGCACATCTTGCTGAAAGTGCCAGTTCTGTACGTTCTTATAATTCTGGAAATCTTCCAAATGTGAGTAGGCCTGTGGTAAAGTGCTCAAAATGGTGTTCAGTCTCAGAGTACAGTCTGTGATGCTACACTGACAGTTCTATTGTGTATGCAAGAGAACTTGCATTGCCCCGCAGATTAACATGGATTGTAACTTTTTTTTTCATGCCTCTTCTTTTTCATTGTCTTGAATGTGCTACTGCACACTTTAATTCAAAATAGGGCAAAGCAATTCAGTGTACATATAAATTAGAAAGGAAAGTAAGAGTTGACTTGAAGTGCCTGTTTTTAATAAACAATCTGTTACAGCATTGTCTAAAATGAAACTGCTCTCTTTAACAGTTTAAGAAACAAGTTATCCAAAAATGATCTATAATTCATTCTTCCAGCCTTATTTATGTTTCATTTAACAGTTTAGTTCCATGTGTAGTCTCAGTACAATAACTTTTGTTACTTGATTGAAATTGTAGTATTTGTTTTCTTTTCTCTGTTTTCTCTGAAAATTGGTGGTAAACAGGTACTTATACTGTTGTGATCCTTGTAAGATGGCCCTGTGCATTTACATGTAATTGTTCACACTGTTACTGCATTAATCATTAAATCATTAAATCACAGCTGGTCAACCCTACATTGCAGCAAAAAGAGGAAAAAAAAAACAAACAAAACTGTAGCAGCATCTGTACTCAGTGCAGAAGAAGAGAGAAATATATGGAGGTCTATATCTGGGTAGTTTTATGTAAAGAGATTACAGTGCAGTTGATGTGTTGCTGTTGTAAATCTCTCCAGATCAAGGGGACTTCCACTGGATTTCAGTTTGGATTTTCTCTACATTTGTGGTTATATATTACAATAATGGTGGCAACTTAATTTCTCGAAGAATTATATATAGCTATTACTGAAAGTAGTTTGTCTTTAGTTTTTGCTTTTGGATGCCTGTCTGATACAGGGTCAAAACACACAGACACTGAGGTTAGCTGTTGTTAAAAGTTTAGCTCAGGTGGTCTCTTCAGCAAAGGTTAAATCTGTCTTTATCACTTTAATAGTTTCTGTGGGACATTTGCTTTATGTTGTGCAGTTGAGCTCTGTCTACCTTTTTATCTCGGATTTTCCACACAAAGCAATATTTCTCCCACAGGAAACATAGTCTGCCAGGTGTTTGGCCTTGTATTTCTCACACCAGAGACAGAAGCTTTGTCACATTCTCCACAAACAGTCCCATTTAAATGACAAAGTGGGCTTTTCATCTTTGCCTTTTGACATTTTTCCTGCCCCACAACCCTTTTCAACTTGAACTGGAGATTTGTAAACTGCTCATATACAATAAACAACACAGAGCGTACTAGAAACCTAACCCAATCAGACCACATGGAAGTTTTTGATGTAACACTGTATTGACCATTGGTGTTAGTCGTTCTTACACATTTCAATGTCATATTTAGATTAATGGGAGTTTCCAGTCAGCAAAGTCAGTTATACAGTAAAATGGTCAGAAAGAAGTCGCTGAGATAAGGAACACTTGAGCTGCTGTTGATTTTCCTTGGTGATCTTTTTGCTTTTTGTAGCTTAAATCCAAGCGAGGTCGGAGTGAATCTACCAGTCTTGTGGTGTCGATAGGTTCAGTAATTGGTCAGTGCCTTTGAGGTTTTTAGTTTTTTAGATTTTTATCAATAAAATAATTTGTTTCAACCTTGACTTAATGATATATATTGTTGATATATATAAATCTAATATAACTCAGCTGGATGATACAACACCTCTACCTGCTATCAGGGCATCTTGCCTCACCATATTATTCTTCAGTTGGTAGTTGCCTGGATGGCAGACAGAAGTGAATCATTTGTATTGACCTTGTTTGTCTGTTTTGAGGGATGACGGCGTATGTGCGGTTGGATCAAATTGATTTGCAAAGAAAAAAGGAAATAAGAGCTTCTTTCTTTCCAAACACTACTGTGTAATGCAGCATAAGGCAATTTGCCCATCTCAGGAGAGAGAGGGGTGGACAGACTGTGGGAACTGTTGACCATGGTACATTAGTCTCAGCAGGAGGTTGCTTTGAACGGTTAGGTGAAAAATCTATCCTCAATGCTGATTTGCCATGTGGGAACATTGGCTAGAACAAATATCCTCCTTTGACTGTGACAATTTCTTCTTTTCTTTGTGATGACAGAGTGTGATGGTGATTTTCAAAGAATTATCCTGCCTGCCCCTCCCACTTGGAAATATAGTGTTCACATCCTTTGTCTTTTTAATTGGTTACTTTCTAGGTGCTTTTAAAGAGCCATCTGTGCAGTCCATTAGCAATGTCTGGGATTATTACCTGTGAGCACATCTGAGGAAAGTTTCTTAAAGAAAAACCTCTGAGCACAGTACATTTTGACGTTTGTACTTTACCTACTATCAGGCAGTAAAAGTTGATAACACTTACAAAATAAATCCAAACGCAGGAGTTCATTTTAAACTACACAAACTTTTCAAAGCTAAATTATGGCATATTTGCCCATTTTATTTTTGATTTAAATGTTGTTCTTCAGTGGCAATTCATGCTCTGCCTTTTGCCCATGCTTTTGCAAATTCAACTCTATATATTATGTATTGTTTTTTTTTAAACAGAAAGTCAATACCTTTTGTGACAGTGTGCTAACCCGGTACTGAATTTGCCTGTTGTCTCATTATAGAAAAGGAATCAGGAACATAATGATATACTATCATTTTCGTTTTGCTCCAGTTGATGACCTTATGCAATAATAGACAATGAAGTATACAGGATGATTAGTGAAGTCAGTTATTCATAATTATCTTTGACGTGTCATAATGAATGCCAGTTGTTCATAATTAAGACGGTGGCAAAAACCATTTGTCACTCTTCCTGTGCACCTCTAAATAGCACACATGAATTATAGGAACCGAACAGTTCCTTAATGCTTTAAAGCCTTTTTACTCTCTTTTATACATAATACATTATAAAATGGGTCTTATTTAAAAGGAAACAAATGAAGGTGGATGCGAATAGAATAAATGCCTTGATTCTTTTTTTTTATCTGATACTTATACTGTACCTACACACTTAATATAGCTGAAACTTCAGTATCAAAAGGATATCAAGTTTGCAATATAAACCATGACTCTAGTAATTATAACGTCATATGAAATACGACATATTTACTAGAAAATGTTCACTCTACGGCAGTTCATGCCCCATCATCAGTTAGCAGGTGTTTAAATGTCCAGTGCCTGCAGCCAACATCCTGACATAGTCGCATTGGTGAACTTGCACTAGGTCGTTTTGTATTTGCTATTCTTTGTTTATATATGTCCTCACAGCAGACATGACAACAGCGCTATGCTAATTGACTGTCACTCATCTTTTAATAACTGTTTACATCACACATGCTGTACCATCTGCATCTTTATTTACGGCATGTCGTATAAAGAAAAGCCATGGGCAGCGGCAGCAGCATCATCTCTATTCTCACATCCTTCATGACATAACTGGGCTACAGGTGCTGCAACAGCTGTGTGAACAGGATGATGTGGAAGTTAAGTATTTATGCGCTAGATTAGGCTTATGGATCCATAAGAAAAACCTGAAATTTTTGGCCATAATTGTATTAATACAAATGACCATCTCAAGCTATGTATATGCATTTTGGAAAATCCAGTGGACAAATTATATGTTCTTAATTCTAACAAACAGAAAAAATAAAAATGATAGTGTTGTAGGTGAACTACAGGTGAGACTACGTTGCTGTAAATACCACTCTCCTAACCATTTCAATTTAGGAGAACATCTTGCATTTATTAGTTCAGAATACAAAACTTTTTTGACTATGGCTAAAATTTTGTTTCTCGGACATGGTGAAAATGTTATGTGAGGGTAAACTTAATAGACCACACCATTTCATTTCCTTCTGGACCTGAAAGTCACAGTTTATGTGCAAATGAAACCGACCATGTAGATAGTTTTCTATGAAAGAATTGGCATCAAATTG